CTTTTGAGAAAGCTGTGACACCCAATATTCCATGCGCCTATGAATGCCTTTCAATGCTCAGACTCTTCAGGGTCCCTTTTGAGAAAGCTGTGACAAGCAGAGGGCACTCGCCCTGCCCTGTTAGGGTCAGGATCTCACAACCCCAGAACTCTAAGGGGTGAAGGACACCAATCGGACATCTACCTTCGCCACCGCCCACAGTTTAGTCAAGGCTCCCCACCTGGTTCAGAGCTATCTCCAAATGGTTCTCCTCTCCCCGGTCCTAATCATCATTAACTGAAAGACAAATTACAGCAGAAAGTGATCTCTCACTGATGTTCAATCTGTCTTTTCTACCATCCTCTACTTATCAGACAGCTTCAACCAAGGGAATCATGACTCCTCAGTCTTTGCCGAAGTGCAACCTTTACCATGCAGTGCTAAAGTACAAAAACAGGCAGCCAGGAAGACGCAGGTGGAGATTTGCACCAACGTCCATTTACGTTTACAGACAAGGTCTAGTGCAAGATGGCTATCGCTGCTGTCGCGGGAAGGAAACTGAGAAATTTTCTCTGCTCTTCGCTGGAGAGAGCCCAGGTAAACAGAACACTTGCCCAGTAGTTCTGCAAAAGTAACAGAGGCCAGTGTTTTGTTATTTTAGTTTCAAAGCAAGCCACAGCCATCCAACAGTGGATGTGTAAACATTTTTTCTTAAACCATCCAATTGCATCTCTCAATGTTTGTTCTAACTAGAACAGAATGGGAGCTATTCATAGGTATACAACTTTTTATCTTAAATTTTGAGTGGAATCCTGTATCACCTTACAACGATTTCTTTTAAAGAATATGTGATTTTCACACACAAATATGTGCATCATATAAGCCTAATCATTTTGCCTCTGCACCATATGTTCTGGATTTTCTTCCTGTGTCCAGTATATTAAATGCCGCTCAACTCCCACAGATTAAAAATGTGGCTTTCTGTCTGTTTATTATGATGTCATTGAATTTCACCAAAATTCATAGAATGTGGGATCTGGAAGGTACGTTATAGATTACCTAGTTTATTTCCTCCATGTGGCTTTTGGGGAAATTGAGTCCATAGTAGTTCAGTGACTTTCTTGATTCACTAATGACTAAATTGAGACTCTGAATTTCAACTCCCTTGCACGTTCCATTTACTATAGCTTATTCTCTACCCAAAAGGGTGAAACATTTGCCTGATTACTTTTGCAGAACCACTTTAGAAAACTGGCAGCTTCTTACAAAGTTAAATATATATCTATTCTATGACCCAGTGATTCTGCTTCTAGGAATTGACCCAAGGGGAATGAAAATATATGCCCGTAAAAAGACTTGTACAAGAACGTTCACAGAAGCTGTACTAATAGCAGCCCCAAATTGGAAACAACATTAATGTCCAATAATAGGTAAATGGATAAACAAATTGTGGTATACTTCTACAATGGAATAGTGGTTACTTTTGCAGATATCCTGGGCAAGTTCTCCCGATACACTAAGAAGAAAAAGGATAATCCAAGTCTCTCGAATTATCACCAGAAGCCCTTTCTATTCCTGGCCATCCTATCTCATTTCTTCATTCCACTCTCTTTCTCCTAGCCAACTATTATATACTCTCTTCTTTCTCTCAAACTTCTAATCCTTGATACTTCCTCATCCATCCTCCCTCTGAGCTGATAACCTTGCTC